CCCCCCCCCGTGATCTGCCCTTTCTATTTGAAAAAAAATCCTTTATTTTCTATTATTTTAGGAACCAACAGTTTTCCAGTTCCGAAGATCATTGAGGTTAGGCATTTCATTCTAAAAAAGAGTATTATCAACATATTGACCCTCGTTATTTATTTTTATAAAAATGCAACTAAAAGGTTTAATTTTTTTCTCCATAATACGTCTCAGAACAAATATAGGTTTAAGTATGAACTTAGTATAGTTTTAAGCAAATGATTGTATCTGCAGGGGGGCTGGAACTTAGCTACCTGGCTGTGTATATTAGCCTGAGTGTACGATTAAGACAGAGATTATGGCCTATTAATACTGTAAAAACATCAAATATGCAGTACGCTTTCGGGGTACAAGTGCAAGGGGAGGTTTTGTATTTTAAATTTAATGAACAATGTAGTAATGCCAGAGTCGGCTTAAGGGGGGGGGACGCCCACCCCCTAGAAAATTAAGGAGACTTCCCTTTCCCCTGGAAAACTGAGGGAAGTTCTGTCCTTCCCCCTTTGAAAAATGAGTAGCGAAAGCAGAGATAGCAGGCAACTTAGAGCCTTTTAATTCAGATTTTAAGAATAGATTCAAAATTTTGCAATCCACTCTTATAAATAGAGGATCAATTGAACATACGTGACAAAAAAAATGATTTTCAGAAATCCCCCCAAGCACTGTAACATACAGATTAATCTTTGAAAGTGGAGTACATACATGGCCTGTACAAATAGTAGAGGAATAGCTACATCATCACTCTAAATACTTTAACCTCGTTGGATGTATCACTCCATAATGAAGAACATTTTTAAGTAAAGGAATTAAGCCTCTGCCAAACCTCTGATTTTCTACTCCCTATATCTATGAAACCCAATGTTGAACCGGCATTGTATGGTACAGGGTGTCCAACGAAATATTACAGTTGGTAAATAGTTTGGAATGTCGTCTTCCATACACTGTAATGGATATTAATGGCTGTTTGCAGTTTATTTCGTTCAAAAAATCTTTTGCTCAAGCATATTTTACTTTGAAATTAATTTTACTATAACATAACTCCTATATAATATTTATATTATTGTCTTTGGTATTAAACAACTTTTATGGAAGAAGACATTCTAAACTATTCACCAACTGTCATGTTTCATGGGACTCCCTGTAGTTGAACTTTTTATTTAAGTGTTAATTGTTAACAAACTTTTTTCGAGTTTCAAGTTTACAAATAATTAAAGAAGCTTTTATAATTGACAGCTCCTCTTTGTGTCCATGTTTTTGTTTATCCATGCTGTTTAACAGCTTAATAAAAATCAAAATTGAATTCGAAAGTCGTCTTCATTATATTTATTTATGTAAACATATATTTTTCATTATTAATGGCGTTTTAAATTTTCTATTATTTACTATTATTAAAAAATAAAAGCTTTAGAAAAAAGACAAAAAAGTTATGATTCTTGTCTTTTTATAAAAAAAAAACAATTTTAGGATGACGTGGGTTGATTTTGTTGGACAAATAGGAGGACTTCTTGGACTTTGTATAGGGTTCAGTCTTTTATCTGGTAAAATTTAACTTATATAAATGGACTTCTTGGACTTTGTATAGGGTTCAGTCTTTTATGTGATAAAATTTAACTTATATAAATGGACTTCTTGGACTTTGTATTGGGTTCAGTCTTTTATCTGGTAAAATTCAACTTTTATAAATGGACTCCTTGGACTTTGTATAGGGTTCAGTCTTTTATCTGGTAAAATTTAACTTATATAAATGGACTTCTTTGACTTTGTATAGGGTTTAGTCTTTTATCTGGTAAAATTCAACTTATATAAATGGACTCCTTGGACTTTGTATTGGGTTCAGTCTTTTATCTGGTAAAATTCAACTTATATAAATGGACTTCTTTGACTTTGTATAGGGTTTAGTCTTTTATCTGGTAAAATTCAACTTATATATATGGACTCCTTGGACTTTGTATAGGGTTCAGTCTTTTATCTGGCAAAATTCAACTTATATAAATGGACTCCTTGGACTTTGTATAGGGTTCAGTCTTTTATCTGGTAAAATTTAACTTATATAAATGGACTTCTTGGACTTTGTATAGGGTTCAGTCTTTTATCTGGTAAAATTTAACTTATATAAATGGACTTCTTGGACTTTGTATAGGGTTCAGTCTTTTATCTGGTAAAATTTAACTTATATAAATGGACTTCTTGGACTTTGTATAGGGTTCAGTCTTTTATCTGGTAAAATTTAACTTATATAAAGGGACTTTAAACAGACCATTTTCAATACAGTTTTTTTTTATGACTCTACAAAATTGACTTGCCCATTTCTACTTTTAAATATTTTTTAGCCTGAAAAACGACAAAGTATTGCGCATTATTTGATCAGATAAAGTGAAAAAAGAAGAAAAAAAGTTGTGTAGTTAGTGCTTACACATGTATATAAAGCCAATCATCAAGCAGCTATTTTTATTCCATTTTTATTCCAAATTCATAAATACTGATTATTAAATAATATTGAAAAAGAAACGATCTGCGCATGGAGTGTCACTTGAGATTATGTTAAAGTTCATTTAATCAATTCTTAAATTAATTTTCGCCAATATGTAGGAGTGAAAAAAATGGTAAAAAAGTGTTTTGTTAGTGCTTGTATGTATAACCAATCAAGCAGCTATTTAAATTTTATTCCATTCAAAATTTATAAATAATGATTATTAAATGATTTTGGAAAAGAAACATCCGGCGCAATGCGAATGGAGTATCACTTGAGATTACATTTCAATTCTTAAACTAATTTTCAGCAAATTTGTAGAAGTGAAAAAAATGGTAAAAAAATGGTTTTTTAGTGCTTGTATGTATAACCATTAACCAATCAACTATCAGCTATTTAAATTTTATACAATTCAAAATCCATTCTTGTAAATCTAAGACCGCTTAAAAATCCACTCACCAATACTAACATGGAAATCGTTTTCAAGGTTTTTTTTTAAACATTGGGTTTAAGAGGATCCACAAAGATATGAAATTCTTAACCTACATTTTAAAATTTTCTGCTCGATAAGTTTCCTTTATTTACACTGTGCTAAATGTTTACTCTCGACCATGAAATCAACTAAAACGATTTTTCAAACCGATTTGTAAAATCATTTTTACAAATCGAATTGACAGTTAGTTTTGGTCAGAATTTGATATGCCTAATTTGATAAAAACATGCTTAAAATTAAATTGGATATCTATATGTATTTTTCATCTCAAACTCTTTTTTAAGAAACAAAACCTTAAATATTTGTTTGGGTCGGCTAATCCCTATCTCTTCTCACCAGCAGACATACTGCAGTCGAATGCAAAATAATAAATAACGATAAACGGAGATTAGATGAACACACATTTATTTTGTCAAAAAACTTATATTTGTCTAGAATCTTCATTAATAATCTCCCGTGGATTTGTTGATAAATTTAATTGACAAAACGCCCAAATTCTAGTAATTAATTTAGTCTTAGTCTTATCATAACTTCAGAAATGTAGCTGTTGGTGTTTGAAGAATTTAAATATAATTTTTTAGAAATAATTTTAAAATATTTTTTAGGAGTTGAGATATTTTACTGGTTTACCCTACGCTTGTCGCAGAGGAAACAGTGCTTTTAATAATGTTTAATTATTATAAATAAGTTCCATTTTTAATCAAACCTGTTGGTTTATTATTTTTTAATTAGGGCTGGACACGTTCAGACTTTTTTTCAATCCGTTCGGTAACTGTTGTTAAAATCGATATAAAATTTTTTCTCACGTAAAAGTTCGTCATTTAGTTAAGAACGGAAGGTTCCGTTCAATTACGGTATTTTCTCTTTATTATTGAAATTTACTTTTCGTTAACTATCTCAATTTTATTAACGGAAAATATTTCATAAATCATTAACGTGTGCCAGCCGTTAACAAGTCATTAACGATTTATTTATAAAAAAAGCCGGACAAATTGGGTGACAACATTCAAAAACATCAAAACATGTAAAAAAAACACATCAAAATACATTTTAAAAAATGGCATTCTGTAAGTTTAATGCAATCTTAAGTTGAAAATGTCAACGCAAGTCGCCGTTGTTTTGAAAGTTCATAACTTTTCATTATTTATCAATATCGCCTTTTTCCGTTCGTGAATGATTTAAAAATTAACGATTTTTTCGTTCGTTAACCGAATCTTTTGTTAACTTGCCGTTCGTTAACGAACCCCAGCTCTAGTTATAACTTTTCTGTGAAAGCATTGTTTAAAGGATTTTGTGTCCTCAGGAAGAGAGACCTATAACACCGATCAAGTAATATAATCGTGGTAGCTTTTATACAGCTTTTAAATTTAATCATTTTTTGGAAGCAGTAAGACAATAAAACTGTTAAGGAGACTCAAGTGATGAAATGTCGTATTTATATTTCATAGTTTTATGAATCTGATATTAATTGTATCACAGCAAAATTAACCTCCTTTAAAATAACCTTCACAATTCTAATGAATTTAAATTTGGCTATACCAGAATTGTTCGGTTATTTGAAAATCCAACACGTGACATAACATATAAATTTTTATTTACAATGTGTCGTACATGTTTTATGAAACTATAGTATATAGTGTACTTTATCATTCTTACTCACTTCATCGTGAATTTCATGATGAACGTGCTAAAATTAATTATCGTGATATAATGTTAAATTACCAGTACATTATAGCACATGTGCTATTATGGTATATGAATAAAAATCAATAAAGCAATGCACTGAGTTTCTCAAATATTCTACGAGTCGGTTTTTCTTACGATATATTTATATACAAAAGATACAAAAAATACAAACTTTAAATCGAACGATACTTATACAAACTAAATATTATGAATCAAATCAGTTTCATCAAATAGGAGAATTCTTCAAGGGAACCTAACAAATAGGGAGCTGGTCTTCAACTAACTCTCCTCCTTTGATTTTGCTCCATCCTAGGATCGCATTTAACCCTAGCTACCCCGGGGTTGTTCCGCCCCCTCCCCAACGCTTGGGTCTTCAAGATAACGGAAAATTCGGCGTCGCTTGGGTTATTTATAGAATCCAAATGCAAACTCAAATAAATCCGTTAGGATTCAAAATAGGACTCTAAAGTCCAACCGTAGGGTTAAAGATGGGGGGGGGG